TGGATGCCAGGGACAATGGGGGAGGAGGATGGGACATAGCTGAGGGTGGGGGATGGGGAATCAAGGATGGCAAAACAAAAGGCAAGGTATGCAGGACATAAGAATTGGAAAATTATTTGCTGAGAACATGTATGTTGATGTGCTTGATTGAGCCAATGCACAGTGTATTTTGGATGGAAAATTCATTTGTGTGTTGTGATGGTGCATAGTGAATTAATGTAGAAAATGAATAAATTTAAAAAAAAAAACAAAAAAAACTAAGAACACTTAACATACAACCCATTATATTTTTAGGCATTTGTCTTAGAGAAATGAAAACTATGTCTACATAAGAACCTGTACTATTTGTTCATAGCAATTTTATTTGTAATGGTCCCAAATCACAAATAACCAAAATGTCCTTTGATGAGTAAAGGGCTAAATAAGCTATAATATATACATATCATGGAATAATACTCAGAAAAAAATAAAATTAATGATATACATAAAAACTTGGCTAGAACTTAAGGGTACAGTGCTGTGTGAAAAAGCCAATCTCAAAAGGTCACAGACTATATAATTCCATTTATAAAACATTGTCAAAAAACAAAATTATAATATGAAGGGCAAATTAGTGCTTAACTGGTTAGGGATAGTGGCAGAAGAAGATGATTACTCAGGGTTAGCCTGAGGGAGATGTTTGTGTTGCTGGACCAGCTCTATAGCTGGATTATGGTGTGTCATAAATAGACACATGTTATAAAATGACAGAACCATAAACACACACGGAGCCATTGTGAAGTCCTGGTTTTTATGTTGTGCTACAGTTACATAAGACACAACCACTTGGGGAGACTCAGTGAAGGGCATACAACACCTCTCTACCTTTGAATCTCCTTGTGACTCCATAATTATTTCAAAAAAATAAAAACCAAAATGGGTGCAAGGCCTAATGACTCAAGCCTCTGGAAGAATTTTCTATATGCTCTATTACAAAAACTACTTTCTCATTTAGTGTCCCGAAAAAGCAAGCCTGACTCAAATTTTTATAGGGCATTTTGAAAACAAAAATAAAGAATAATCACATGCAATATTATGGTATTGCTTATAAGCCCTGTCTTCATCTCAGATACTGGTATTTTTTTTTTTCATCCACCTTCTTTCCATCTGCTGGTTTTCAAGTCTCATATCTTGAGTTTACCAGTTTACCTCTTTGTGACCTACATGACCCTCCAAAATGATGGTTCCCCCAAGTCTTGTTCTTTCATTCCCATGAACCTGTACATATCCCCAGAAAAATTTCAACTCCAGGCACTCATAGTACATAGGACTGACTGAAAAGATTCATGCTGAAAAGGATACATCAAAACAAAACCAAAAACTCCTAGCCCAAATTAATATCAATAGTAAAAGTTACCATGTAAGAGGATTTCTGAACATAGTCTTCCAAATTCCCCTTGTCCACCTTGAACCATTCTCTGCCCATTCTTTACTGCACACAAATTCCTCTCACAACACTCCAGGCTAGCTTTAGCAACTTGACACCTTACTTCATAAAATAGATATCCAGGAAAACAATGAATGTTGACAACATACTTCAGATTACGGGGAACTGGCACACACAGATCTTATCTGATGCTCATTAGACTCTGCAGCTTCATAAAGGCAAATATCCATTTTCACCCCTATTCTAGAGATGAGGCAAGTTGTACCTGGTGAAATACCTTCTCCAGATAGCATACTAAGGGTCTTCAAAAGGCTTGTGGAGATTGCATATGATGAATAAACTGCATGAATTTTCAATTTTTTTAACCAAAATAATCAAGTACTTTAATCCCATTTCCCACAAAATTTTTCAAGTTCTCTCATAAGTGAATAGTAAATTGCTGAGTAAGGGCTATCATTCAGATCTTCTGATTTTCAATCCTAAGCAATGTCAAACTATTTCTTTGAACTTATCACCCCATTCCGATCTGGAAAAGGACGTGTTAAAACAGCAAAAGCTGGAAGAACAGAAGTCAAATGGTGACTCTAACTATGCTGTTCTGATCCCATCTAGAGCAAAGGTTCTCTAAGTACGGTTAATCCTAAAATCAGTAAGATGTCTGATGATTCTAAATAGAGCTATCAAAATAGAAAGTCAGAATGTACTTGAAGCAATCAGAGAGCATAAAAAAACAGAAAAGAATGGAGACTGCCTACTTAGGCTAACTTAACCAGTGTATCCAACCCATCAACCCAACTTTGTGAAGAGAAGGCAGAATCGTAGTGCTCTGAGCCAGAATTCAAATAAATTTGGTTAGATCCCTAGCTTCCCACATGGTGGCCAAGGAAAATCCCACCAAAGCAAGGCTGAGCACACTAGACTTCAAGGAATCAATGATAACCAGATCTTGAATCACCTGATCCTCCTCTGAGACTTTCCAATCCTTGGTCAAAGTTCAGTTTAAAAATAGATAAATAGGGACCAGCAGCTAGCATAATGGCTGTGTCACGGACTCCCATTTAGTGGACCATGGTTCGAGTCCTGGACCCGGTGGCTTAAACTCATGCCAGGCGCATGTGTGTGCGTGCCCAAGATCCCGAGAGAACGGACGAGAAGGGATTGTGGCGTAGCCATTCCCCAGGGGGTGATTTCTTACTTTCTATCTCTCTGTCTCTCTGTCTTTCTGGTGAGTGCACACACCCTATTCTGGAGCAGTTTTCTCCAAAATAAATAAATAAACAAACAAACAAAATAATAACTGGAAAGAAACTAAAAAATTAATCACATGAAAGAAAGTATTGTGATGGTAGCAAACAGAAATGCAGAACAGATTCCTCCCAGGACTGATCACTGAATCAGGATAGTCCTCAGACCAAAAGTTTGAGAACCAAACAGTAGACAAGTTAACAAACAAATAAGTTTCACTGCGAAAAGCAGAAGAGCAAATGAGATAAAACTCATGATCTTAAGGCTTCTAAACCTTACATCAACATTATTATTAATAGCTCACATTTTGATTCCAAGAAATTCCTAGTCCCATTTTGCCCCCTTTCTAAATAAGATCAGATTGTAACAGGATGAATAAAAGCTTTTGTAGAAGTCTTACCAACACGATATTTTAGTTCTATGGTTGTTTCGGCTTCTCTGCTTAATTCTGTTACTTCGCAACTGTAGTTCCCCACAGTGGCATCACTCTTAGCCATCTTCAGAGAGGCATCTCCTTTCAGTAATTCTGAGACTGCAATTCTTGCACTTGGAAACTCAGAGCTGATAGTAGACTTGTTTGCAACTCCATCATAGACATAAACGTCTTTTCCTTTAAATTTCCACCTTACAAATATTTCTGAGGTGCTTTGTGCCTCCACATTAATAACAATGCATGGAATGACAACGGTGTCATTGCAGTAGGTGTATTCTACAGATTTGGTTTTATTAAATATCAGCTGAGCTGAACCTGGAAAAGAAAAAAAAATCATTTAATTATAGAATTCTATAGGATCTTAGGCATGCTTCAAATCCTTAAGATAAAGAAAAACACTTCAGTTTTCACTTAAGCAAGCAGTGTAGCAAGGGAGAAGTCCAATAAAGTGAAAAACAGAAACAAATTATTTTTAATATTGACTTGTACAACTAGCAGACAACACTATAACTTTATGTTATTCTCAGTAATACAAATTATATATTACCATGTATCTTGGGAATAAATTCCAGCAATCCTGTTGGAACATGCAGGTACAGTATCTGACTTTGGAAGCTTTGAAGTCATTACTGCCTACTGATACATAGAGAAAAATACCGTCCTTACCATGAGAATATTCTGAATAGAAAATCAAACTAAATATTATATTCAATCTCAACTTGTATACATCGCTTCTAAGTAGAACTTCATAGACTGATATGAAATTTATCTCTATCTTTATGCTGCATTTCCAAAAAATAAAAATAGAAAAAGTGGCAGGTTCCACTGTACTTTAATATACAAAGTAAATCGGATGAATCAAATCATCTTTCTACCAGGTTCGAAAGTCTTAGAATACTAATGAGAGAAAAACATTCTCTGTGGCTATTTTCCTACTGCAAAATAAATAGCAATAGACATTTTGTGTGCAAGTCTTACTAAGGATTATATACAATTGAATGTCATTTTTTCACCTCCACATTTCATTGAAACTACAGAACAACAATTTCCAAATGTATAGTACAGGTATTCCTTCCTTCAAGAAACTATAAGCTACTTAAAAAGGAAACAAGTTGAAACCAAGTAGGGTCTAGTATATCAACTCTTCTAAATTGGATTGAGATCAACTTCCAATCATTGCCTTACAGAAGAGGAATTGGTATGTGCAATCACTCACCATTCAACTAAACTGTAAGAGAATGTAGAGAAATTGTAGTTGTCTATATTCTTCAGCTATTTATCAACTTTTATCTAAGTAGTTGGGTTTTCCCTTCAAAAAACAAAACACTAACTAATGTAAGTGAAACATGAACTTTGTTAATAGTTCATTCTTAAGATTTCTTTCTTTTCTATAAACTGGAATAAAAATCAGGAACATGAAGTGTAATTATTCTGAGAACATAATTATTATTCAATAAATGTCTATTGAGTTGAATGCAAGAATACATAGTAGAATATGAACTGAATGGTGCTCAAAAAAACCTGACTACAAACTCTGTTTCTGCCACTTTTTAGTATGCAACTTAAGCAACTTGCTTTTCTATGCCTTGGTTTACTCTGTGTAAATGAGAATCAAAAAGAATCCCTGGATTATTTCACAGAATTGTGAGCATCAAAGAAGAAAATATATGGGCAAGTGTTCTCTAGACAATACTGTGCTATGAAAATGTGCGGTGTTATAAAAAAGTAGACAATATGGCACTTTATGTAATGATCTGGACTTTCTCTGACTGGTCTAAATTGTTATATTTCTTGGTATCTGCAATCTGACCCAACCTTGAGTATTCACAGTTCACTTCCTCTCAGTTCTTTACATGCCTAGCTCCCCAAATATTAGGAAGCCCCAGGCAAAACTTGGATTTCTAATTGCTCTCTTCAAAACCTTGGAGTTATGCATTATTTCCCCTGAGAAGCATTGAGGGTGGGAGACTACAGTGCAGGAGGAGAGAATAAAGAGGTAATGATGTTGGAACTACAAAAGAGAGTATCGGAAAATATGGTCAAAGATTTTAAAATTGGCAAAATGATTACTGGGTTTTCTTTTGACAGGCTGTGGGACACTGCCTAACAGATCCTTTGGAATTATCTCATTCTATAGGGTCCTATGCCTTTCACTGACTTTGGGCTAGTTTGTAGTTTCAAACATTGTAGAATACTGATGGTAGTGCAAATGATTGGTGTCCACAGAGATACAAGTAAGTTTTATTCTGCAACTGATTTCTACCTGGTAAAAGAAAGGATTCCCAAAAAATTACATTTTATTGCCCTGAGGATACTAATTTTGCATCTATTAGCAAATTCACTTCAGCATTCCTGATTGCCCATAAATGTGCCTGTTCTTCCGATTTTTAGAAATAAATGATTTTGCCTTCTTGCTGGTTTTCTCATTAATTAATGAGTAAAACAAAATCTGTGACATATGTTTATTTTATATTTGATGAGTCATGGCTTTACCTTTTAAAAATTATCCTTAAATAAAAGATATATTAGTAAAGAACTCAGTTACTCTGTCAAATTTTTTGAGTAAGCTCTAGGTACATAAAGACTGGTTAACTAAAACCCCATAATTTTATGATATATGTTCAGAGAATGAATTTTCAAAAGAAAAAATACTAATTACATTATGTTATTTATTGTAATAAAAGTACTTTATAGCTGAAATGATTTATGTAGAATAAATGCTGTTAGTAAAGTAAAACTGACCTGATAAATCATAATTTGAATAATCTTTGTGCTAATAATTAATAAGTAAGGGTGATCCAAAATTACCACTCCAGCTATTAACTACAACTTCATCTTCTATAAATATGCATAAAAAGTACTAAGTAATAAAATGATCTGGTTTTAGGGGGATCAGCAGTTAGCGTAATGGCTATGTCGCTGGACTCCCACGTAGTTGACCATGGTTTGCGTCCCGGACCCGGTGGCTTAAAACTCACACCGGGCGTGTATGCGTGCGTGCCCAAGATCCCGAGAGTAGAATGGAGGAGAAGGGATTGCGGAGTGACCATCCCCCCAGGGGGGTTATTTCTCGCTTTCTGTCTCTATGTCTCTGTCTGGCGAGCGCACGTGCCCTATAGCAAAAACCTCTCCCCCCAAAAAAAGAAAGAAAAGAAAAGAAAAATTATCTGGTTTTAGAGTTTTTCTCCTTTTCCTACCACCTTCTGACAAAATAGCAAAGTGAAGATTTCAAATACAGGGAATAAAGAAAAATAGATATTAACATGAATAAGAAAATTCTGAAAGACAGCATATGCTTATAGATGTCTACATCAGATAGGAGTACACAGATGCAGCTAGGAGTGATGCCACAGTAATAGACAGATTGGCAAATAAAATGGGGAAGTTATTTTATGTCAAAGAACAAAAGTATTGGATCTTCAGCACCTGTAAAGACAGACCACTATGGGAACCAGCAGTTAGCGTAATGACTATGTTGCTGGACTCCCACGTAGTCGACCGCAGTTCGCGTTCTGGACCCGGTGGCTTAAACCTCATGCTGGGCGCGTGTGCGTGCGTGCCCAAGATCCCGAGAGGAGAATGGAGGAGAAGGGATTGTGGCGTGACCATCCCCCCTGGGGGGGTGATTTCTCGCTTTCTGTCTCTATGTCTCTCTCTGTCTGTCTGGCGAGCGCATGCGCCCTATAGCAAAAAACAAACAAACAAACAAACAAAAAACTCTCAAAAAAAAAAAAAAAAAAAAAGACAGACCACTAGTTCAAACCATCTCAGACCACAGTCCTGAAAATAGCTATATAGTTGCAGAGAAGGCTCAAGTCATGATAGTCATAGCACAATTGCCTAGCTCAGAAATTTTAAAAATGCAATAAACATTTCTTACAAATTACCTTACCTAAAACAATGTGAGATGATGT